GGGGGCAAACCATATGGTGACAAACAGGCACCCACTGCAAGCTACTCAGAAGGTAATCGGAAGATTTTCCATTTCCATTCCTCATTAGGGTCACGGTTGAGATCTTCTCTCTTTATGGGTACACCTGGACTTGGACTCTCAACCAAGGGTTTGAGTTTCAAATTAGGGTGTTTCAAGCCGGATTTAGGGTTTCGAACCACGGTTAGGAGTCAAGTCGGTTTTCAAGCAAAGGCATGCGTTTCAAATTTGGTTTTAGGACAGATTCTGTTTTCAAGACAGGCTTAGGCCCTGCTTGGAGTTACAAAGGAAGATTTCAGGCCTGATTTAGGGTTTGGAACAAGGGTTAGGGTTCTAAAGTCGGTTTTCACACCAGGGTTAGGGTTTCAAGCCTGGGTTAGAATTTCAAACAAGGGGTACAGTTTCAAAGTAGCCTGATTTAAGCATTAAACCCTAAATTAACACACCTTAACCAATCCTAAAATCCAACGCCTAACAACTAAGCCAAAACCAAACCTAAATCTAAACCCTTAACCTGAAACTTTCCGAATGATGATCCTAACCCTGCTAAACCTAACTCTTGCTGACTAAAAACTAAGTTTACATCCCGCCTTCTTTGATTGGCTTGGTCTCGAGTGAACGGCGCTCACTCGTCATCTTTAAGTGACACATTAAAGACGTCAAACATGTTTCATTACGTGAGCAAATTGATGACAAAACATACCCACGTCTGCTCCCAGAGGAGCTTGTCGCCGCGTTTGTCCCGCCTGGCAGCTCTCAAATTGAATAATAAGGCGACAAGGCATCATGTGATCCAAGCGTGGCCCGAGTGGGACGAGCGTATTTGATGCGCGACGGCGTCAAATGTCCGGCGTGTCCCGTTTCAACTTTGCCGTAGCGTACGTGTTGCTTTCATCTCCTGCCGCGCCGCAATGACGTTAACGCCGCCACGCGAACTGGCGCTGTCAGCGCAATGAGACGTTATGCAAATGAAGGCGTTAACATCAGAGGCGTCACGTCACACGCTAGCAGCCTGATTAGCACCACCATGCTAATAAAGGAAATGGAGCTCATGTGGCTACGCTTTCGATTGAAATGGACATCAGGGCTTGAAACCTTAATTCAAAACCCAAATCTTGTCTTCAAACTCTGATTTGAAACACTGATTTTACCGGAATGAGATATGCAAATTAGGGCGTTAACATTTTCGATGTCACCTCGTATGCTAGTGCTAATATAATTAGCATGACGAGCGAATAGAGGAGGTGTTGCTCATATCATTACACCTCCTATTGAAATGTTCATCCTAGGTTTAACTTTAACACCCAAATCTTGTCTTAGAAACTAATTTGGCCCGAATGAGACGTTATGCAAATGAAGGCTTTAAAATCTATACACGCTGCTGCTAACATGATTAGCATGCTGAGCTAAACATCGGAAAAGTAACGCACGTCATTAGACATACCCCCCCATCATCATTTGACGTTGGGGTGGGGGAAAAAAAACACCTCTTAGATGGATGACCGATGGCCGCAGAGACACTCGGCCAATCCGTCGACGTGTCGAGATCTCACCAGAGACAAACACAAGCTGGCGAGGTGGGCAAACTGAGCAGCGCTAGCCAGGATTTATTTGTTGTGTTGCGGCGCGAAGCACTCTGATGATTCTATTTGCCATTTGGGCTTATCGCGGGGATTCTCAGCGCTCCTGGAATTGTGCTCAAGTCCACCGCTGGATGAGATACAAAGTTGTCGAGATTTGAATGGGCCACGGAAAGGTTAATGTTATGCATCGGATAGTCACACTTAACTTCTTTTCCGAAGCCTTTTCTCGCTCAATCCTAAATCATTCAAAATACAAATGATTTTTTAAAAAGTTGAATTTGGTTGATAATATACTTGAATTGATTGAATAAGAGATCATATCAACTTTCCTGAAGTTATGCTAGCATGCGAAAGTGATGTCGGCCATTTTGCTAATATGCACACTTTGTGGTCCCTAAAGATGAAGGGGAAAAAAATTTGGAAACATAATTTGGAAGAGCTCTGAACTTGCCGTCATGATAAAAGTGTGGGAAGGCAAGTGGAAAAGTACGAACATGACAGGCTCGCAACTTGTCAACTTCAAAGTTGGACCTGCAATTAGCTCGTCTTTGATTGCAAGGTCTCGCTGGCTATGAAATCATTGATGATGTCATCCTGATGCGTGCTCATTCTCGGCTGTTAGCTCCTTGCTATGTTAATGAAACCACAAAACACAAACAACTCATTTTCTTCTTCCTTTATTGTTCATTCTTCTTTCCTTCCTTCTTATGCTATCTTCCTTCACCATCCTAAATTCATATCTTCTTCCTCTTCCTCCTCCTCCTTTGATTATATTCCCCTTCCTTCCTCCTATTTTCTCCCACCACCTTTTTTCTCCCTTCCTTTTCTCCCGTTTTCCTTCCTTCCTTCCTTTTGTCTCCTCCTTTTGACTTTACCTCCTTCATCTTTCCTTTTCTTCCTTCCCTCTTCATCAACTGTCTTCCTATCATCTCTCTTTTCCTTTCCGCCATCTTCCCACTACTTCCTCCTTATTTTTTCCTGCACCTTCCCCCAATTAGTAGCTTAATTAGAGGCCCGCTTTTACGGGTCAAACTTGTGGAGGAAATGAGAGACGCTGCGAGCAGTTGAACAAACGATTTCAAACGATTGCATCATCATCAACATCATCATTACGGTGCCCGATTATTTCATAAGTGTCGCCGCGGCAACAAGCGTCCAGATGGCTAAGAAAGAAAGAAGTCCGAACTTGAACAAAAGGCGTGCCGTTTTTGTCATACTGTAAGCTACAACCGCACCAAAGTCAGCGTGATGGTCACACTGTCATCTCATGAGCTCTCGTTCCTAATGAAGTGACCCGTGCACACGCAGTATGTTCCAATCACGGCTCTCCCTCAAGATGAGAGCTTTTCTGTGTGTATATGAGGTGAAGCCAGCGAGGCCTTTAAATATTAATACCTTTTCTTTCCATACTTCAAAAAGGCGAAAATAATCTGGGGGTAGTGAGGATGAGGAGGAGGAGGAGGAGGCGGCGCCGCCTCTCACAGGAGCCCCGGTGTCCCGTCCTAATTAAACATGCATGGCCGTGTTGTTGTTGTTGTTTTTTGACAGGATGCCAAAACAAGCGCAGGTGGAGGCGACCGTGCAAACAACTTGTGAGTACATGCATCAAACACACAAATTAGCACCTCGGACAGAGGGATATACGAATGGAACGTAAACGCCGGAGGAATACGTGACACAAGCACACACATTTTTTTTTTTTTTTTTTAGAACATCAAATGTCATCTCATCATCTCTTTTGTCTCCAAACAAGTGTGTCTGCGTGTGTATCTATCTATCTATGCTAGAATGAATTTGTGTTTCTTGAACATTTCTTTTTTATAGTCTCATTATACTTTGTGTTGATGTAAAGTCATCTTTTGCTTAGCCACACCCACAAAAGACAAACTGGCCAATCGCATCCCAGCGCAACATAGAATGCAACAGCACTTCCTCGACAGCCATGTTATTGAAGTTTTCTCTGCATTTATGTGATTTAAAATATACAGAATTATAACAGTCATCCAATTGCTGACCAAGCTCTCGACAAAGCTATGTAAAAACTGCACACGTCATCACCGCCGCCCCCTCCTTTGCACATTTGGAGAAAATGCTACGGTGTTGTTCGCGCAAAATTATCCAAGGCCTACTTTCTGTGATCTTTGCAGTCGAATTTAGAAAAAAATCAAAATTAAAAAAACGTTACCTGATGCTGTGCTGTTGTTAGCTCAAAATGCTAAAATAGCTGTTGCTCAAGAGCAAGCTTAGCAAGCTAAGCTAATGAGGCTAGTTTCATGTTCCCAGTTGTGTCAGAAAATAACACTTGCCAGCTGTACAGATGGGGCGGCTGCAAACGCCGAGTTTAAAAAAAAAAGGTAGCCACATTTTTATCCCGAGGTTGTCAGGTGTGAGTAATTGATACAAGAGCATCTTCTGTGGCTTGAAGGCTGCCAGCAGCAGGTGAAAAACAACAACAGCAAGGCGGGATGAGCTGGGCGGACGACAGATGGACGCACAGGGGCCTGACTTGGCGGCGGCGGCAGAACGGCAAAAAGAAAAAAAATGATGGTGAAAAACGGAGGGAATGGACAGATGAAGGAGGCACAGGAGAACAAGTCGATACAGACATCTCGTGGGGTTCAAGTGCAAGCGAGGGAGTGGGGGAGTGGGGGGGGGCTGTCCTCGAGGGGCTCTGGACACAGAGAGCCTCACTTTTTCTTCCTTGTTATAATGTTCAAAATGTCAATTGGTGTAATTAAAGGTACAGTTCACATTTTCGCTGGTTGGTTGGTTTGGAGACTTGGGCTGGGGTCGGCAGCAAGTGCAAGTCAGGGGGGGCTATCCTGACCTGAAGATGATGAAATTGTCAATTGGGGTGCAATTATTATTTTTTTCCTTGTTGTGTATAGTTCACTTTTTGAGTTCCCGACAACAGCTATAAATAATGTGCTTTCTGCGGTCCCAGTCAGTTCATGGTTTGTAGTTGGACTTGGGATGCGAGGCAGCAGAGTATCCTGTGAAAAATAGAAAAGGCAGGAGAGAATGAGTGAAGAACTTGAGACATCATAAGTGCAAGTAGAGCGAGGGTGCTTGACAGCCGTCTCACAGCAGCGGACCACCGCCTGGCAGGAAGATGTTCAAAATATCACTCGGGTATGTAATTAAAGGTTCTTTCACACGGATACATTTTTTTTGTCCAGTGTTTTTTTTTTTTGTTTTGTTTTTCTAAACGTCGATGGCAAAATAATCTGAAAAGACGTGGGGCAGGGTGTGGTTGACAACCATCAGGTGTTTGAACCATACTGGTTTCAATTGTAAATCTTTGGGACTTGAGGAGTTAACATCCGTCTTCAAGCAAGACACCTTGTGACATGAGGACTTAATGAAATAATGTGACATATACTGTTGTTCACTTGCTGTTGCCCCAATCATTTGCCGGTTGTTTTGGGGTGTGGGGAGAAAAAAAACCCACCCTAAAAATGGATGGATAGGACATAAAAGGAGGCAGGGGAGTGGAGAACTTGCTGCCTTTGAGTCGATACAGACATCTTGGTGGTTTCAAATTGAAATCTTTGGGCCTTGGGTGGTTGGCGGCTGTCCCCCAGGGGTGCACCTCCTGACACGAGGATGCTGAAAATGTCAATTGGGGTTTAATTAAATGTTGGAACGTATAGTTTATGTGGTCCCGATCGGGGAGCTAGGTTTGCAATGTTGGCCATCCTGAAAAATGGATGGAATGTCCAAAAAAAGGAGACAGGCCAGGAAGAACTTTCCATGTTTGAGCCAATGCAGACATTTCATGTGTAAGTCTGCGGGGCGGGGGTTGTTGGCGGCCCTCCCCCACGGGGGGCGCTGCTGACACAGGAAGCCTCCTGAAGATTAACGGCATCACCTCGTCCGCGGTTAGAAGGTCAAGAAATTGCTCCCACTGCAACCCGCCGCCCCTGCCGTCTCCACTCAGGGATTGAGTGGGGGCCACGTGACCAGCAAAAAGTAAAAGGCACCTTTTTTTTTTTTTTTCGCCTGACATTCCAACTTCCTCTACAGTCCTTTTTCCACTTGACTTGCCCCTAAACTCAAGAAACTACACGAAGGGCGGCTGAATTATGGATGGCGGCTTGCTGATGAAGTTGTGCGACATCTAAGCGACACACAACGCCTCCCCTTGGACGCCCCCCCCCATCCCCCACACACTCCCCCAACCTCCCTCGGATTATAATTAAGGAGCACTCATAATTAAAATGAGTTAAGAACAAGGCGGGACATCAATAAGTGATGGAGTGTCACTCAGGGACGATCCCGCTGAGTCGTGCACTCATCTAATAATGAGGTACCTCATTAGTTAGCATGCTAGCTTTCTAGCTTACACGAGAGCAATGTTGTTGTGAGGCTAAATAATGTATCGGGCCGCCTGTTCAAACGCTAACACGTCCATTTGCGTTAACCCGCAGCGGCGTAACGACACTGCCGCCAGGCTATTTTTTTTCCAGCAACTTCCTGGGTGTCGCGGTGAAAGCGGGACACACCGAAGCGAAAACGCTTGTCGTCTTCGGCGTCCTAAATTACGTTCGCGGCGTATCCTCCCGGCGACGCGGCATCCAACATTGATGCCTCCTTTTTATGCTTTTATCACCTCGTAAGTGAGTACCCGCCCGCCAAAGTAAAACGCATTTCTACCCACCGCCAAAGTAAAACACATCCTCTTAGCATGACCGCCGCTGCTTGGCTTTTAGCGTTTAGCGTCTGGCGCGATCACCTGGCTGAGAGCTAACAAACGCTGCACTCTTGGTTTATTTATGAGTTTAAGAGCAGAAGCAAACAATACTTAACGATAAAATTGATGTTGTGGACCACATAGCAAGAAAAAAAAAAAAACTTTAGTTCACAATCATGACTTAACAGCCGATCAATCAGTCAATGTGTGTCTGGCTATCATTTAGTTGGAAATACCACAGCTAGCCAAGCTGCTAATTCAAATTTTATTGAACTGTATGACAATGCAAATTTTGTTTGTCAATGCCATTCTATGTACCGGTAGTCAATTTACAGAGACTATCGACACGTATTATGATGTGTGATGTTTTTGACCCACAGTAAAATGTCTTCAAGGGCCTAAAACGTTATTTAAAAAAAATTCTACTGACTATTATTTTTATTATAAACTTAGTACTTAACAATTAAAATGAACTTGGGTGCTAGCCAAGCAGCTAAGAAGCGCAGGAGGATTTTTAACTGGTACCGTGCTACATGTGGCTGATGCTCAGCTTTAAGTAACAGTTTACCCAGCATGTCTGGTAATAGTTTGGTAGTGATGTAACACAGCTGCTAACTTCACTTTTTTTTAAATGTGTATATGAATAAGAGAATTCTTGTTTTTAAGTGCTGCATGGTATCCCTGAGGACCCACAAAGGTCTCTGACAGGTAGTAAGTAGGCCTAATCGTGGGACTTGTGCATGCTAACGTTAACTAGCCATGGATGATTGACATCTTCCACTAGGTCGGGCTACATGTGGCTGACACTTACCATGAAGGTGCCTCACCATGCCTGACTAAGTCGTCTGCAATTATTTAATAATCGGCGTTGCTTCTGTGTGCTAATATGAAGTAACGTGTTAGCGTGTTAACTGAGCATAGCACACGAGGCATTCGGGGGATGACTGACGTGCGGCTGTCTTGAGGGAGACCCCGGCTACACGTGCTAATGCTAATCAAGACCTGTTCTCTGCCATGTCGCGGTGCGGTAACACGGCCTCGTCGGTCGTGCACTCATGCCGGACACGCGCCGGCTACATTAGCGCGCCATGTTCTGCAGCACGGGAGAGCGTTTCTATTACGCCGCGGAAGAGCAGCCTGTCACGTCGAATTAGGCTGAGAGGAAGTCATGCAGACGTGTAATTGGTGGACAAAAAAAAGAAAAGAAAAGAAAAGTGGCGGCATTGAGGGAGGCTTTTTCAAAGGAAGCCGCCGAACATCACGGCATGTTTGAGACATTAGCGAGCTTTTAGCATAGTGCTGACCTTCAGGACAAAGGATTCCAGCTAGATTTTTTTTTTTTTAAACCGCCAACCCCCTTTTGCCGCAGAGTTTACCTGATTGCAGTGGTAGTTCTACTGTAAAATGCTCCAACGTTAGGGGTCAAAAAGACGAGAGATGTTTTCCCAGCGTTCCTCGCCTCCGAAATCTCAGTGCGGAATCACTTTCCTGACAATAATTGATAAATAATGCAGAGCGTGTGTTTGAACGGGGAAAGGCTTTCGTATCTCTTCCATTAACTCGGATTAAGATTTCATTGTGACGCCGGGGAGAATGCTAGCAATATCCCGGCTCATTGCCATCAAAGTTTTATAACAGCTTTTTTTTTTTTTTTCCTCCCCCCCTTCTCCTGTACGACATTCCTGCTCGGATGTCGGAGACGGGACGCTGGACATGAACTCCCCTTTGGTGCCGCCGCCAACCTTAATATTTTATCAGTTGGCTGTAAAATGCTGAGATTCGAGTGCGGTGGAATAAGCGGGACGATGCCCGGAAGATTATTTGTTACAATATGGGGGGATGTCATCGTCTAAAATTTTGAGCAATTTATCACAACTTTTGTGGAAGTCATAAAATGTCAGGGCGTGGCGATATGAGAAATACATTGACCCTTGAAAAGATGTGGGGATACAGTAAACCCCTGAATATTTGTGGTTTGGCATTTACCAATTTACATTTTTACGAATTTGTGGGGGATTATATTCCATGATTAAACAAATATGTGTTGGTGCTCAGGCGAAAAAGGCTAAAAATATGGCTCTGGGATGCTGGGGCCAAGCAACAATGTTGAAGTGGATGACTAAACGATTATATGTACATATTCGTGTAAATAATTCAATTCAATCAAATCTTTTTTTTTTTTTTTTGCAAGTTTTGGGCCACTTGACGTAGATTTACATTTTTAGGAATTTGTGGGGGATTATATTCCATGATTCAAAAATGTGTTTTGGTGCTCAGGCCAAAAAGGCTAAAAATATGGCTCTGGGATGCTGGGGCCAAGCAACAATGTTGAAGTGGATGACTAAACGATTATATGTACATATTCGTGTAAATAATTCAATTCAATCAAATCTTTTTTTTTTTTTTTCAAGCGGCTGGGTTGTTGAAGTGGATGACTAAACGAGTATATTTACATATTTGTGTAAATAATTCAATTCGATCAAATCATTTCTTTCTTTCTTTTTTTTTTTTTCTATTTGCAAGTTTTGGGCCACTTGACGTAAAGCGGCATCTGAGCGCCAATAGGAAAATGTCGACCTCGGTTATAAATATTTGATGGGCCAAGTCAGCCGTGAGATTCCAGCGTAAAAGAACGGAATAAGTGCTAAGGAATACATTGGGAAAAGTGACTCCGAAAAGAAGGAAAGGGGGCGTTTAGATGCACACACCACTCCATTGTGGCTCCAAAATGCCCCCCCCCCACCCCCCGTGGGCCACACGGGTGTCATCAAGTGACTTCCATTGTGAGCACTCTTTATCTTGAAAGCTAATGGCTAATGCGGGAGAAGAAAGTGGACATCCCGTTCACATTTCTTTCTTGAGGGTGCGTTTTTTTTTCTCTTTGAGGCAATTCCAAGCATTTGGAAAAATGTCCATTCAGCCAGGTCACATAAGCTATAGTATAATAAACAAGAGCGCCCCCCGAAGGCATGTGCTGTCTTGTCTTTGTGCCCATTCAGGAAAGCAGAACGCTTAGCGCCCTGGGCACAGAAACACTTTGACACGTTTTTATTCTTTCTTATATGTTTTATACTCTGTGGTAAAAGTGGACCCGAGCGGAAATATTGGTCTTGACAGTTTACTTTATCCTCGTTTTGTTATCATTAGGCCTCATGATGTCAAATTCAAGCTTTTAGACCTTACATTTAGGCACAATTGAAGCACTTTTCAACTTGAATATGACAAACTTTACACTCAAGACATTTTCAGTTCAATGCAGCTATGAAATATTGTGATTCATAAGATTACCTGTAGGTATCAAAAAATAAATGTCAAACATTATGTTACAGCAGACTGTGTTTTTCTGATTTGATGTTTAATTAATCCATCAAATTGAATTAATCAAAGTGATATTTATTTCGATTTTAATCTTCAAAA